ACTGAATTTGAAGGATCGCGTAAATTTACCGTCCTAGGCTGCGATCAGTTTTGCTGTGGTCCTTTAAAACCTTAAGTTTGACTGTGTTGAACGTTCCTCGACTAAATCAACTATTTTCGACAATCTGTTTTTCCGCGGTTAGGATGGAGTAGGCTTTGCTGGTCAGGGCACGTATTGTGCATGCTCAACAGTTGTCTACCACAGTACGCCTTGTTTTCAGTGACTAATCTACACCTTTTGCCATCAAGCTTTGGCCAAAACCCGAAATGCTTTAGCCAAAATCCGTAGTCCTTCAGCCACAATGCACAAAATTTAGCCACGACGCAGTAGGTAAATCAGATCAAAACGTTTCCGAATGTTCTGAAGACAACCAATGTTAAGAAAAAATATTTTCTATAAATGTTGATGCTGCAAAGCTTGGTTAAGAAATGAGAAGGTATGGGGGTTGCATGCTGCAATACATGTGGATTGGATAAGGTTTAGCCGATGTGCCCGTATCGTCAAATCATTTTACTCATCTCGTACAGTTTCAGTGTTTCTGTATAACATGCGATACTCTTAGGAGTAAAACTTGGGAGTGCAACTCAAACGATACATTGTTTTGCATACGTGCTGAGGATAATGAAGCGTTCGTAAAAGTACACCCTTATACCATCAGTTTATCAATGGTGCAACGTATGTCATAATTACCAAGGTCGAGGCTTAATTATTACGGGTTTTTTCTATAGCATCTTGGGAACCGGTGTTCTGAAGGGGTATGTGTGAGCAGTGTTTATTATCCTCGACCTTTTAATGTATCCATATGTCAAAAGCAGAGTTCACTTTAAGAGGATATACGAAGTGGTAAGCATATAGCTTTTCATTTAATCCAGGGCTTGTGAATGCAGTCGTGCTGTTGCTCTTCTTATCGCTCGCCTTATCTAACCAGCATGCTTTAAAAAGTGTGCGTGCACACGTGGATTATGCACTCTGTCCATGCCGATTCACTTCTTCCCACTTTACACATTCCTATTGACTTTGTACACGCTGTGAGTTTGGTGGTGATCAGCGCGATTCGCTCCATTGTTTGTAGCTATGCGATGGTGAATATGATGAATGTTTTTGTTGTAAAATAGGTTGTTTTAGCCAAAATCTGCGGTTTGACGTACTGAGATACGATCAAGATGCTTATCCAACGCCACTACTTGCTGGTATAATATCACCTCAGTATGATTATGCCATGCGTTGGAGAAGAATGGTCATAGAATCAGACTGAATACAATTTTCTTGTCCTGCGTAAGAATCTCACCGCCATATAGTTGGTTTATCTCTGACCAAAAGCATCCCTAAAGTTTGGTTGATTATTTCGTGGCGATCTTCCAGTCGGCGGGTCATTCCCCTCATTTTTTTTTGGTGAGATGACTGGGGGTTGCGCTCATTTTCAACTGAGGAAGAATCTGTATCCATACTATTATGCGAAGTTGTTGTGTTTATTTAAAGTGCCTCGTTTTCACGACATGCCTCAAACATTGACACTCCTCTATTTGTCCATCTAGGTTAGACGGCAAGCATGTGGTGTTCGGTCGGGTTATTGAAGGTTTGAATATAGTCAAAAAGATCGAGGTGAGTGTTTCAGCTAAGTTTGCGCAATCTTTTGCTTTTTAATCGCCACAACGCTCTAGACACGGTTTGTTTTCGTTTGTTTTGAAGTGCGGGCATTCCGGTCAGAAAGGCGACGAAAGAGTTACCATTGACCGGTTCATTTGTTCTTTTTTTGTGATATAAAACCATTTTATACATTGCCAATTGAAGCTGAGCTGATTAAGTCGATCCAGTAATTTGTCATACCGAATCTCAGTGACTGGAGTCGTGGTCAACGAATATCCGGGCAGTATGCGATGGCTTGACTCCAGGCCTGAGCACTGGATTATTATGTACGGGCTATTCGCAGGACGTGGAGCATTTCCACCCGTCTGTTCTCTTAATAGAACTAACCGACATTGTGCTCCACCCACAGCGAATCGCAGACGGCGTACAATCCCTTGTGAGCTAATAACAACACTCAGGATTCCCCTTATACAGGTTGTTTTCTGCCGAAGTAATAGAATCGTCGAGCTCTGTCAGCCAGTTAGCGCAAGTCAACTACATACACTGACATAGAAACCTCGAGTGTTCGAATCCCACTACTGGTGCGCATTTTGTTCAACCATTTGATGTATCTTGGTCGACTTCCGGTAAATGGATTGTGTGATTAACTGCTGAATGACAGAATTTATTGCTCGTCGAAAATCAACTAATCCCTTATTACATTTTCAACCCGAGTTGTGAAATACCATGATAGCTTTTTATCAAATTCAAATTTTTATTATGGGATATAACTTACAAAGACTTCGCTTTTTCAAATCCC